CAAACTAAATGAGAGAAAGTATTCTTCTTAGTGATGTATTAAATTCGTAAATATAAAATCTAATAAGGTAGTAATAATAATAAAAAGAAGATTGTAAATTCCTTTAGTAATGACATCAGATAAGCAAGGAAAACGCCAAAGAGTGTTGCAATGATTCTAAAGTCTAAACAACAATGCACAAAAAGGGACGAAAGTATCCTCCTCCCCACACAGACACTCGTGTGACAGAAAGAGCCACGCTCCATCTCCGCGCGTCAGAAACACCCAAACGTGAAAACGGCGTCGTTGCTGGTACAGCGTGTTTGATTGGTGGAGAGTGGTGTGTGTGTGTGTGTGTGTGTATCTAAAATTGTAAAGAGAATGGTGTGACGTTCGTAAATGTTACTACTAGTAGTAGCAGTACACTGTACGAGATGGACCCCCAAAACGGTCTGAAACCAATCCCAGCCATTGATGTTCATCTCTAACGGTCAGGATTTAACCTGGTAAATTTGCTATTTCTTTCTTCTTTCTGCAGTAAAATGAATCTAAAATAATGAAGCAAAGAAAAATTAAAAAAAAAACCGTATCTGTGTGAATCTAACAGTGAGTGAGTGAGTGTGGGGTGAAAATCTAGTGACGAAGAAGTTTGCACTTTCTCTATTCAAATTACTCAAAAAACCCTTAGATTATGGGATGCTCGTGGGACCTTATAAAGGGTGTATAAGTAATTTTTAATTACTCTTTTCAGGAGTCTGTTTATTTTATTTTTTACCCATACAGCAAAATCCTCTCCTTTTTTTACTTTCCTGCTATTTGGTGAAATTAATTAATTTATAAATTGTTTTGAATATAGTAAGTCAGTCATGATAATATCAAACTACTGTTGTAGTAATTGTGTTGAATCCATTGGTTGATAATATGTGTATCCAGAATTTTGTTTTTTAATAATGCAAGTTTAAATACGGTTTATATATATATATATATATATATATATATCTTTTTTGTTTACGGTGAACTGAAATAATAAAAATGACAAAATACAGAAGTTGTAAAAAGATACATCTATGCTTACAGAAGGTATATTAGGGCCCACTTGACGATAATTTTTCCTCAATAGGCCCTACCTACTCCTTTCATGGGCTTCTTCATCTCCATTTTTTATTTTATTAAATATTTTTTTAAAATATAAAGAGAGATTTTTTCGATTAATATATGTGTTTACGATTAAAAACTAAAAATAGTGACAGGAAAATATCGAATAGGAAAAAGAATGAAAAAGCTAACACATATGGAGAAGTATAAATCAGCAAACAAATATAAAATGGTTTGGTTTGATTAGAAAGAAGATGATGAGTGTTTTGTGTTTTGCAGTGGTTCCCCACAAAGCTAAGAAACTACACGTGCTCATGTCTTCCCACCTTCATGACGTGGCCTCATTTCACACGTTGATATGTCGTCTTTTGACCATCATCATTCATCACTCCCCCCCCCCCCCCTCCCCCAGCTTCTTGTTTTTTTTTTCTGAATTGAGTTATCGAAAGTCGAAACTGCTCTTGTTTTTTTTAAGCTGGATTAGTATTTTATAATATTTATTACATAGTATAGTTAGTAGAAGATGATGTTTGTCTTAAAATGAAATTCCCTAATTAAAAAAAAAGGCCAGCTTTTATTTTCAATGGTTTCCAGATCCTCCTCAAACGCGTGAGTGAGTGACAACACGAAACATCGCATATTTGCTTGTTCCTAATTATTTCAACATTTCTCCCCTCCCCATTTATTTATTTATTTATATTACTCCTTTTTTATTTTTCGTCATCTTCTCTCTATTAAGCTTCTATATATTCTTCCATAGGATTTTATTATCTATATACGAGGGAAAAAACTTACAGTTTCTCTTAAATATATATATCATATAAATATTTTGTCAAAGATATATCATATCATATTTACATTATTGCAACATTATTTTCATCTCTCTCTCCCACGGTAAATCACAAGACACAAGCTAAACAAAACTTTATTCTAACAAGGTAAAAATGGCTGATCGATCGTAACATCCACACAAAAAAAAACTTTCCATGATCTTTTACATGCTCCTGCTATTACAAAAAAAAATATCTTTTGGAAAAATAGTAATAATGAAAATCAAAGGGAACTAAAAGCAAAAAAATCCAAATAATTGTGCGGGGGTGAGCTAATGAGTGGTGGTTGATTAGACAACAACAACAACAACATACTTATATAAATAACAATGCAAAGCTATGCGACAATTCAATGGAAGTGGCCTTCAATTCTCTCTATTCTTTTCTTCTTTTTCCCTTGCCTCCTTTTTTTTTTTTGTTTTTTTGTACAACAAATAATATTCAGTTATTGTTTTCTGTAGAATTTTCTACATTCTTTTTCCAGTTCTTTTTTTTAACTCCAAAATGATCATATATGTTAGAGATTCCACACACAAATAAGTATTTACTTTGATAGTGGTAAACCATTTAATAAAAACCATATACTATAATATAATATACATCTTGATAATAATTTTGTAATGATGGTAAACAATTAATAAAAGGGAAACATATTCTCCTAAAGTGCAATCTCAATACATCGTATGCAGTTGTAGTTGGACCTAATTACAAAATTATTATTGATCAATCATTGTAATGCAAAACCGCCGTACAAGCCGAATATCTTTAACTGTTCTCATTGTATCATTACTTAAATTACATTAACATCATAACCTTTGACCGCCAATCTACATCTAAATCGCTGGCTTAATTATTTTTATTTCTTTTATAGTTTGAATTCATTCTGTATACAGAAAAATAAAACTAGCATCAACAGAAACAAAATAAATTCTCTTTAGATGCTATCATCAATTATAAATCTGATATTTATTATAAAAATATAATTATATATATATTTGAATGAATACCGGAACATTGTAAAAATTTATGTTAACACGTGCTATTATATCTTGTAAATTCAAATCTCAAATGAAAATCACAAAAATATAATTTTACAAAAGTTACATTTTAAACCTAATTTCGTATTTAAAAAGTTTAGTTCTAATGCAGCGTAATATGATGCTATGATATGCACGGTCTTAATTATATATATAGTTTTTAAGATCAGACTCCGTGTTAACTTTTTTTCTTAATGCATGTGTTAATTTAAGTTCTAATAACGATTTCATGTCATCGAAGAGAACATGCATGGCGTGTTTTACAACCTAGCAAAATTGAAAAAGGGCGACTCACGTTTGGTTTGCACGAATAATCAATCTTCCAAATCCTTATCTCTTATTATAATTAAGCTGGTCGTATTAATCTTCCATGCACATCCTTATCTCTTAAGTCTTAAGCTGGTCGTCCTAATCAATATTATGTATAAACGTACAGTTATGCTCTATATGCTTTGTTTTGTTTTATAAAAAATTTAAAATAATTTGTTGTTACAATTAGATAACAAACAACAAGTAACAACCCACAAATAAACCCCACGAAGGACCCACGTTGTAGGACTACAAAGGCAGCGATGCATTAAACGAACTATATAGTATAATACTACTAAATTACTAATCGACGTATGATTGGAAAATTAACATGTTGAAATCTTTTTTTTTTTGCTTCTTTCAGCTGTATTTATCGTTTGGCCATTGCGTATGTTAAGATAATGAAATCTATACTTAGTAAAAGATATAAAATCAAAATCAGAAATATTAAAATACGATGAGAGAAAAATTAATAATTGGTGTAACTTGGAAATTTAAAAGGTCTTTCTAATTTTTGTTGGTCAATGGAGACCTAATACACAAAGGAGAGAGCCCGTCCTTTCAAAATAGAGGTATAATTAAGTTTCCAAGCTGTTTCCAGCAAAAACATCTATCTAACACCTAATTGTTAGGCCAGTTTAGAATTTTGTACGAAAATTTATACTACTATTTCTTCATAATCAACATGTACATAGTACTTCAGGTTCTCAATCGAACAATACATTTCTTCATAAATCATCAGCTTCAGCTAACTTATACACACTGGCGGAGGCAGAAAATTTTATTACAGGGATCGTAATATTTTTCAGAAAAGGAAAAAATTATATTATTTTTTTTTTTATTATAACTTAAGATGAAATTTTTTAATGTCATGCCTATTAGTTATCTACTCCGGCCACTGGTTATACAGATTCCATTAATTAATTCCACGTAATGATAGCTAGCTCATGAATCCACGTTTGACTTTCGTTAAAATTTGAGGTTCATCAGATTTTTTTCCTCTCTCTATTTGTACAAACTTTTCCTCTCTCTATTTATATACGTATATATTTAGAATATATATATGAGACCGGAAAAATTGGTGTTGCCCTCCAATAACGGGAATTTATAAAAAGTGTTTGACAAACAAACAAACAAATCAAACGTCAAATAAACAGGCGCGCACGTGCGAGGAGAGGATCCCGTTTGAGCACACGTAAGCAAAAGCAAAGGAGGCTGTTTTCGTTAGACTTTCCCGTTTCGGTTAATCTCCCACACGCAACGACCTCTCTCCTCTTAACTTAAAACTGAGCTTTACACGTGTGCATCCCCCGCCCCGGTTTATCTCCTTTAAAGAGAGTGAGACCGAGACGTCAAAAGAAAGAAAGAAAGAATAATTTATTCAATTTCTAATAAAACCCCTTATAACCCGGCGATTAACAGGGGTGAGTCCATGTGCTTTGAGATAACACAGATTCATTTTTCATTTATCTCTATATGTTTTTTCTTTTTATGACATTTCAAATATACAGATTACGTAAAGACCATGATATCTCCCAACAATAAATGCTTGCGATTGCATTCATTCATGGAACCACCTACTGTGTATCATTCCGTTCATTTTTTAATGCAGGTATGTATTCTTTTTACTACTACTGATAATTAAAATATATATAAAAAAAAACTCATGGACCCAAAGAATAAATATTCACGTTACAAATAGAAAATAATACCTACAAAAGTGGATATTGCAGGTGACAGTAATAAATCATACCAGGACAAAATTCCTTTTTTTTTATATAAATTTGAGATTTTATTATCAGTCGTATGACGTATGGATGGATAATGTTTCTTTTATGACATAATTAGGCAAAAAAATGCAAAAGGCCAAAAAAGGATTAATCAAAAATAAATAATGCAGGAAAACAAATGGAAAGCTCTGTAAGATTATAGTTCTGGAGATTAAATAATTTAAACCCTTTTTTGTTTATAAAATATCCCATTTGATGATACTCTACCTGTTTTGTATCTGAGTTTCTTGTCTTTTGTTTCTATGTCAATGCGACCATTTCTCTTTCTTTCTTCTACACCTTTTCATCAGATTCGGTTGTTTCGGATAGTTTCTGTGACTTGGTTATGGGAATAGAGAGGCTACGACGCTCTTTACCACCCGGTTTAGAAGATGCATTGCCGTACCAGATCATACCGAGGATCGCAATGAGCATTCCAAGTACTACTTGCAGGTTTAAACCTTCCTTGCCGAAGAAAGTGAATCCCAAAACCAATACCAGAATTGTCTTCATGTGACCAAGTACTTGGAAAGACACCGCCGTAAATCTTCCAATACAGATGAACTGACTGAGATTGGTCCCGACCGCGATACTGCACGAGAGTATTAAGAAGAACTGCCCAGAAATGAAAAAGGCTTAGATAGAGCTTAGGTAAGACAAATCCAACAGTGTATATAATAATTAAGAGCCTAACTGGCTATCATCAGTTCTTGAAAATCGAAACAAAATGCGAATTGGTATGACTACTAGTACTACTATGTTCCAATCTCATCACTCTGTTTTGGATCATAGAAGACTTCATAAATAAACAGAGGAGAAACTTTACCAGAGATACAAATGAAAAGTTGAATGCATCCACTCTTTGGTTAGTCAACCAGTAGTCTAGAAATGGTCCAACTAACAACAATGACGCAGCTTGTACTGGAGCAGTATGTGCCAGTAAATTGAAAGAACCGAGCGAATATTTTCGCTGTAGATAATGTACATACTGCAAAATGAAGAAACAATTATTAGAACTCAGATTTCTATTTCGGTTTACAAGCTAAATCAGATGATAAACAATGAATAAAAGGGACGAGGATCAGAATAATATGATGAATTTGACCAAGGTCTCTTCCATTATATTTAAGGCATAGGAGAAATAATATAAAGACTTACGTATTGCTGAAGCGCGGTGCTCCAGACAGCAATAGCGGCAGCGAGAAATCCGTTGAGATTAACACTAACATCGGTTACAGTACAGACGGCAACACCAGCAAGAACTAACAAAATGCTGAGCTTTGTATCTCTTGAATACCTGACATTGTCAAGAACAACTTCAAGTAGACAAGAAACCGGGATCATACTCAGCTTGGCAATCTGCAAATTCCACCACAGACGTTTCAAGATCTTCCGGGGAAAAAAACAATTAAACAAAAGAAACGAAACCTTGGACAGAGATGAAAAAGGACTGACCTGGTAGAATCCAACAGAATTCCACATGAGACTCACGTTCATCCCAACAATAGAGAAGTTAGCGAACAAAACGAATTTCAAAAGGTCAGGCCAAGGAAGCTGGGAAGGTTGGATATAACCAAGCCATGTCAAGAAAGTGGTCAACAAAGTGGTTGTTCCGAAATGCAAACCGGTTAATGTTGTAGCTGTGTGGGAGATTTAGAAACAGGTCAATGTTGAAACAAGTCAACAGCGTTGACTACATTTCATTTCAAGGAGATAAAACGAAGAAGACTCACCGAAACTAAAGCCATAAGTAGCCATCAAAGCCTTGTTAACGAGGATGATCCCAACGGAAGTGACAACATTGAATAGCCATGATGCAATGTCTAAAGCCGCTTTTTGATCCGTCTTGCTTGTTGCAGTCATTTTGTTTTTATTTTATTGATTCAGATCTCTGCAGATTACGATCTTCAAATTAGAGCTAAACTCATTGAGGAAACAACAATTAAAGAGACTAGATCTTGATGGTGATCAATCCAGGGCAATCGCAATTGATCGAACTTTTAGCTGTTTCTGGATCGAGTTTCACAATTCCACGATCTAAAAAAGGGTTTAGATCCAGAAGAAGAAAATGGAAACGATCGTTATCCCAAGAATCAAACATGGACATAGCTCTGACTATAAAATTCAAAATCAGATCTAATACTCTGCATACAATGAGTTACAAATTTCTAGCGATTTCTAATCGGAAACAATCCAGAAATTTGCCAAGTATGAACTCAAGTATGAACCCAAACAAGTTTATTTATGAAAAAGGTCTCTCAAGTAAAACCAAATCTTCAATAGAGAGAACAGAGAAATGAATTACCAGATAGCGGAGAGAAACAAGCCCTTCGAAGACGGCGAGCACCACGCCTGTTGCTGATACTGCCGTGCCGAGGCGGCGTCTTACGGCGGCGCGGATACGGAGGAAGTCTACGAAGGGCTAAATCAACATGAACTGAGAGAGAAAGAGAGAGGAATTTCGAGTGATTTTATTGATTATATATATTTTCTTCTCTCTTCTTCGGTTATTTAATTTCTTAATTTTGTTTTTCTTTCGTTCAGTTATGCTATGGACTTCCCCCGCAGAGTCTCCCTTCTTTGCCATTTAAGAGCGACGACATACTGAAGAATCTTTTCTTTCGTAAAAAATATATATATATATATATATATATATATTTTAAATTAAATATATTTTCACTCACTTTCTTCTTTTACGCAAAATAAACTTAACAAATTAGTTCAAAACTTTTCTTAAATACTAACAGATTTTCATTAGTATTTTCGGTCTCGGTTAATTAATTAATTTTCGGATTAAATAATCGAAAACCATATTTCACTTAGACTTAGGAAGGGGGTAGTGTGAGCCGTGATGAGGGCACAACTAAACATAGATCTAATTAATGAGGGAATAAATTAACATGTAATTTTAATCACCTATTTTTTCTTACTATATATTAATATTCTTCTAGTGTTCTTTATTTATTAAGTGGCTTTTCTCTATTATTAATGTTGGATCTAACCCCTATTTATGTATGTTTCGTGCAGGCTATGTAATGTAACACCCGTCGAATATTCCTTAGGCAAATTCGAGAGTCAAAACAACGTCTTTCAAGGGTTGGGAAGACCAAGGACCAAAACACCATGGCTTAACGTATGTGTTTCTGTTGACATTTTTGAAACACAAAATTTGACCATAACACAAACAATCGTTTTGTAGACTGTTTACATTTTTGGTTTTTCAAGGGGGTAATTTCTCTTGCAACGTACAGTTGCAGTCCTGCTATACTATACTATATATACATGGCTTCTTCTTGATAGTAAACATGCCACATGAATTTATATGACCTTGATATACAGACTAGGACAGTTAACGTCAAATCACAACCGCAAAAAAGAAAGAAAAAAACACGATACAGAAACTGATTAATTTGCTTAATAATCCCACAAACTAGCAATGCATCTGGGACGTTGTCTTGACCATGTTATTGTCTCATCATGGTTGGTCGTTTATAGTTTTAGTGTCCAAGTTGTCGGAGTCGTTTGTTCGTACTCGGCAATGCCACAGTTTTGATAGCTAATAAGAAGAATATATATTTCAATATTAGTTAAAACAGAATAATTAATTAAATTGTTGGTTTGTATATATATTTTTGCGAAAGACGTAGCAATCGGCTATTTAGTAGGAGGATATAGAGCAAAAATGATTTGTTGTCGTAGTAAAATAACGTTGATATGTTTTAACTTTTAAGGGACAAAAAAAAAAGGAAAGAAGAGAGAATGTAGAAAAGTGGTAGAGTATGGAGATGGGAAATGAGGAGTGTGGAAGTGAAAAGGCGTGACCGATTTTTAAAATGGACAAAAGGAAAAGGCAAAGGGGAAGAGAGGGGACACACGATAGATGATGATAAAAGAAACACAGGTTCCGTTTGGTTAAAGGATCCAAAACAGACTACTTTTCTTGTGAGTTTCTTTCTTTCTTTCTTTCTACATCACTCACTATATTTGCTTTTTTTTCTTTTTCTGTTTTTCAGAATACGTAATATTATAATAGAAATGTGTTTGCTAGTTCCCTTTAAGTATCTATTTTTCTCATTGTCGTCATTCGATGCTTTTCATGTGAACTGTTTTTCCTTTTTCGGGGTAAGTTTCAGTTAGATATCCTCAGGGCGATACTACCATAGATTCATGATTCATGATTCATGTTTCCACACATAGTATATATATATCACATCCACACAAAAAAAGTGTGACCAATAGATTGTTGAACTAATGAAAATGATTGGATCAGAAGCTGAGAAGTGCTAATTGATTGATTCCTGCAAATTCTGTCAAAAATTATTATCATATAGATCCGAGGCTTTTTGAGATTTTGTCCTTCTCTACTTACACATTTTTTTAGACCGAGTCTGATATACACTTAGATTATGTATGATAGGTCGGCAAAACAAACTAAAACTATGATTGATCTTTGAATTGATTTGCAACCAAGTGTATTTTGATTCCTATTGAATAACTTATTGAATAAATCGTATGAAAACAAAAGCCATGACCACGAATATGACTTTTGAAAACGACGTCGTACTGGTACTTGATAGAATTCAATTCGAAAGAGAAGAGACACTTCGATAAAAAGAGTTCAATACCTTGCATTATGGCGAAAGAAACTCGTAGTATATGACTTTTGCTATATATTAATCTTAAAATTAATTCGTTGTTGACACTTTTATTTTTCCTTCCTAGTACGTCAAAGTGTGAAGCAGCATTTAATCTGTTTAGAAAAATATCATCACTAGACCACATATTACGGGCTTGTAAAATTGCTTAGAAACTAATAATTTAGAAATATCAAAATTCGTGCAAGTAAACATGTCGTCTAAAAAAAAATATACGTCACAACTGTATAATTTAAATTTATATTAGCTGACCAAAACTATAAAGTATTGTAGTTAGTCTTTTTTTTTTTTTTGTTTTGGAAACAAAGTATTGTAGTTAGTCGGTTTATTTTAGAGCTTCGACATGATAATCAGACTGACTGACTTGTGGATTTTGGTCCATTATGCAGTTATTATCCGACGGTGCGTTAAGATAAAATCGTAAAGTGGACTAAGCTCAATCCAATGGGCCAAGCGTTGGGCCCAAATAGAAACTATACTTAAATGTCGGTTTTATCCCTGAAAAACTTTTGAAAAACGATACAAGTATTATGGAAAAGCCAATGGAGGGAGAAATTTATTTCAGCGAAAATATTCCCGCCTTGATATTTCACCCTCTCTCTGCTCTCTGCTCTTCTCTCGGAGATTTTGTTTGTTCCGATTTCGTCGATCTCTGCTCGAAGATTTTCTTCGTCTGCTAGCTCCGTCTTCTCTTGTTTAGTAAGATTTGTATCTCGCGTCTCTAACTAACCAGGTCGGTAATTTTAAAATCCTGTTCTCTCAGAGGTTTTGAATTTTCGATTTCTTTGCTTTTTCTCCACCGATCGTGTTCATCTGTTGCTTGATTTCAGACGAATTCGTAAGGTTTCTGATCTATATGGTGGTCGCTAGGTCTCGATTTGAATTCGTTCATGTCTGATTGATTTTTTTATGCTAAGGATTTCCGTTCGGTTGGATCATCGCGGTTTGGAAGGATTTCTAGGGTTCCGATCAGCATGAGGTGGATGTTCTGTTTTTTTTTTGTTTTTTTGAATCTTCATAAAATCGTCTGAAGAAGTTAATACTTTGACTACACCTGTGTTCGTTTTCTTCAAATTCGAATCTAATTAGTCTCTAAGTTTCATTCGTTATTGGATATAAGTCGAGATTTGAAACGCGTTTGAGTTTCTGGGTTTTAGATCTGGATTTGTTTTAAATTTCTGCCAAATATTCTGTAGAAGACTATGATTTGATAGTAATTGTGAATTTTTTTAATATGATTAATTGAGCTGGTTTCTAAGTTTCGTTCGATCTGATACGCACTTGGAATTCTAGGGTTTGAATATGTATGATCGGAGGGTTTTGCTATGAACCTCTGTGAGACAATATGGCAGTACGAAATATTTGACTCTTGTGTTCTGAATACCGAAATCTTCTTTTTCAGAATGGCTAGAAAGAGGACTGAAACTGCAACTGAGAGACCAAAGGAGATCAAAGCCAGAGGAAAATTCACCAGAGCCAAGAAGTGTATGAAAACGACTACTAAAAAAATCCATGATTCTGGTAAAAGCTTCTTAAATCTTTTCAATAATTATCACTTGACCCCTAAGGCGTTTGTTGTTGGTAGTCAACTACAATAGTAGTTTGTATCTTAGTTTTCCCTTTTTTACTTCATCTCTTCTTAGACTTAAAGCTCAGATTCTAAATTGTTATCTATATGATTTGGTGGCATTGTAATTGGATTTTTCATTTATCAGGAAAACATGCTAGTGGAAGAAAAGAGAAGTCCCCTTCTAAATGTTCAGCTGAGCCTCCATCTTCTTTGGATCAAAGTTTGTTACATACTCAAGACCGAGCTCAAAAAGTACCAGTCCTTGATCTTCATTCGAGCAATAAGGTTCGAAGTTCTGAAAAAATGAAGTTGCAGCTCTTTCCTTTGGATGCTCATACCCGTGAAGGATTGGAAAAGGTAAAGCTTAACATCTCACCATAAGACTTGCTCTATGTAAATATTCTGGTGAAGAGTTTCATCTTGTTATATTGTTACTTCATAGGATCGCTTTCACCCATACCTGGAACTCACTCTTAGCTCACGAAAAAAGATTTCTTCAGTGCTTCAACACATTCACAGTAAGTGGGGCAGCTCAGAGATTGCCCGGGGAGAGCCCACGTTGTACCCATATGATAAACTAGTACTTGCTTCTGGTCGTAAATGGATAGCAAACAGCAACATCACTACTGGTGCTGTCTATCAAGCTATTGGAGCTCCACCACTTTTCCGCTTAAGGTTTGCATCTCTCTACCTTTCAAAGAAACTTTCCTCAGCGTTACCGAGTAATATGAATATAATTCTTTTATTTCGTTAGGTATGGGTGGACTTCTGACATTGAACATAAAACCCATGAACCGCCATCTCCTTCAACTCCGGGTATTGCTTGTTTTCAGAATGAAGAACTACATAACAATGGTAATAAGGTAGAGGTTGCCAGCTTTACTGGAAAGCAGATGCTTGATTTAGACAATCCATTTACAATGCTGTCCTCTTCAAATCAAGTGAATAACATGCCTCCCTTGGAAAACATACTTCCCGATGAACAAGTTGAGTCAAAGGTATGCTTAGTAAAAAACAATGTTTTTTCTTCTCTTGCTTTAAACTCAAAGCTTATATCACAGTATGCCAGGAATGATGAGTCATGACTACTTTTATTTAACCAGGAGAATAAGATAAACAATGGAGCTGGCCCGACATTGCTTTTTTGGGATGATGGATTGACAAGCCTGAGTATTGGTGGCTTGCTATCAGAAGTATCATTGAAAGGAAACTTTGGGAGTCACTGTAAAAATTCAAACGCAACTCTCTGGGAAGACAATCTTACAAACGTAAGCATTGGGGGTTTGTTTTCCGAGGCTTCTTTACAAGGCAGACGCAATATTAAACATGAACAAGAACCAACTCATTACAATAATAATGGTCTGTCAACTGGAAGTATTGGAGGCTTACTTTCTGAAGCATCATCAGTAGGAGAAGGAAGATTTAGGGACTGTAACAACACATGGGAAACAAAGAGAGCTATCAGACAGCCACCATTACCTCTAATATCTGATTCATTAAGTGCTTTCCTCGAGAATCGAACAGATAACCCTCGAGTACCATGCCCTAATCTTCCTCCTGAGCCGTCGCACTTGTCTATACTCGATGCAGAAGATACATGTCATGCATTTTCATTTCGAAAGCGTACCACAACCTCACCGAAGGTTCACGAGCAGGTTAATAATGTGCTCATGTTATGCCGTGTTTTCAACTTTTCATGTGATTTCTTTTCTGTAAGCATTTCTAATATAAATATTGTCAGAAGTTTAGAACTTGCAACTCATGATGATGGTATTTGAATATTTGGTAGGTAAGTGGAAAAGCCGAGAAGGAGCAACAGAAAGATGAATCGAAACCTGCAAAACCAGTATTTGGTTCCATGGTGTTTGATCAGGACAGCAGCCTCGGATTTTCAGGAATCAAGTGGGTACGTGAGTGTTTTAAAAAAAAAAATTCCTCCTATTGTCTGGTATTTGCTTCACATTTCTCTAAAGCATATATGTACCTGATGGAAACCTCACGTTTTAACTACAGGAGCTGAGCCAATAAGTTTAGATGTTTACCGTATGGATTTTGAATATTTGACATCAGATTTTCTTAAATGCAGGCTGAGTCACGGGGACCATTCGATTTTGGTTTATCTTTATCTCGAAAGTTTACTAATGGAGACAGTGTAAGCTTCGGTGCTGTAGTAAAAGATCTGCAGGAAATGGAGCCTTTAGAAGAGAAAATATAGCTTAAAAAGCATTGAAACCCATGAACAATAACTACTCCACAGGTATAACAAATCAATACATTCCAAGTATAACAAAAAGTCTCAAAACATCTGGAATCCTTTATTTTAGAAAAAATCCTTTCTGATATAACAAATTGTTACATAAACTCTTTCGGCTTGTTGTTTTTATTGACAGGAAAGGTAAATAGTAAACAAGTTTTATAGGATCTGAAGATCCTTTTGACATACAAAGAGGAATTTGTCTCTACTCAAAATATAAAGATGTACATGTAAGTCTTCAGAGTGTAAATATAAATATACTCTTTGATGTGTCTGCTACACCTTCTGTCGCTGTTTACTCTCTTTCCAATTTCTACTCTTCCAGGAAGCCACATATTTTCCCATGCGTGTGCTCTGCAGAACACGATATGTTATAGTATCTGTGTTCATTAAGGATTGCTGTCAATAATATTGCATACCACTGAAATTTTCAACCTAAAATTAAATATTTGTACGAAACAACTAAGGACACAAAAGTATCTAAACACATCTTGTTTAGGTACCACCGTAAGTACTCTTGTTATCTATAACTGCTGCAGGTTTGTTGAATCCCTTCCATTTCCCTAGACTAGAGGTCAATGAACTAAACTCTGGAATGAACATAAACATGAAAGCAACAGAAAAACTCACCTTTTTGTTCATAATCGAAGTATGTTTGATTGTTAACTGTTGAGACATGCAACATATGGTTAGTAGATCCTTCAGCTTCACACACAAAGTAAGACATGTGGAATCTTGGGCACTTTGAGCCAAAAGCTGCAACAAGCAAAGAAGATACAGAGTTATGAGAAACTTAATACAGCCAGTTCACACAGTACTAATGAAACAAGTTTAATAAACAAAAGATACACTTCTCTAGGAGGTGGGAGTTCGACAAAACTTCAAAAAAAAAAGACTCAAGTAAGCGATTGTTTGCAACCAACCAGATTATTACTACAACGAATTTTGAAAAACTTAAAAGAGGTCATTTATCAAGAATATGGTGATAGGAAGTCCGGAATAGAGAAAGATAACGAACCATATGTAATATAAAATTAATTTAACATAGGATCATACCAACAAGTTTTCAATGCTGTTTCAGTTAGCTGACATTCTTAAATACGACAAAAGTTTAACTCCAGCTTGATTTTAGAGTTATATTGAATCATAACTGAGCTCACTTTTGAGTATATTTCCACATAATGGATCATTCAATTCCAAACATACCCAGAGATCCTTGAAAGTATGTCTAACCCATCATAGTAATATATAGCAAAGAAACTAGCGTCTGAGCTTTTGTATCACTAAAGATATATAAAGAAAAACTATTCAATCATAAGGAGCACAAAAAAGAGAAGAATCAAAAAGGAAACGTTAAATAGCATCTAGTCGAGAAAAATGTTGCTACCAACAAATCTAGTTCAGAAACTTAGTATCATCAAATAACAACAGCTCCCATCATTTAGAACTCTGAATTAGACCATACACCAAACAAACAATTCACTATTTACCATGATCTACATAATCAAGTCCATACTATGAAGAGAGGTTTGACTTCAGTAATCAACTATCAGAAAAGATTACTTAATCTATCACAATGGTGGGGGAATATGGTAATGAGTACCTTGAGAGCATTGCTTCTAATCCAAGGCAATTCATCATTAAACAAAGAAACTCCCTAAGCGATTCGTCGCACTTGAGCACACGAAAAGTGAAGTGGTAGAAAAACAGAGTGAAAGTGAGGTTACGCTCATGCGCGGCTCCGAGAGAGCCTTGGCTTGGTAATAAGTGAGATGGTCTTGAGAACTTGTGAGGAGAATGAGAGCTCTATCTTGAGCTATCTTCTCGAAGATCGCTTGCCATGAGCCACGGAAGAGGAAAATCTTCGTTTAGCAGAGACATAGTAACTCAAATGAGAGAAGAAGACGAAAAGTTCATAATATTAGGAGGAAGCAAGGAGCTATACCACTACTATTTCATTCTTTTTAGCCAATCAGAACGCTCTATTTCTCACCCACTCTCACCAAACGCGCGTTGCGCGAGTGTCTACGATTCCTGTGTGCTATAACCCCCAAAATCGCTTATGGTGTAACAAACTCGCTGAATTCTTAAAAACCCATCGCGTGTGAGTTTTTCTTTTCTCTCAAAACCTTATTAATTCTAATTTAAACCGAACCGAAATCAATAATAATTTCAAAACCACATAAACCGAACCGAAATCAATTGTCATTGGTAAATAACTAACCATGAAGCTCTCTTTCATGTTCCTCGATTTCTTTCCTTTCATGTTCTTCGTTTTCTTATCTTTTGTGATCCATATTTTAGTTGTTGGACATGAGGCTTAAAATAAGCAGAAGAAATGTAGCAATAATTTGATTGAAAAAGGAGCAAGAAGAAGAGATGATTATATGGAGGAAGCTTGGGACTGTCTGGATTCACTTAAAAATTAGAATACAATCAGGGAACTAAAGGAGTGTTTGGCTGCAGTGATGATTATAGTATACACGGGTCAGATAAGAGATACATCTTGACTTCTACTACCGAACGTGTAAAAGTTCAAAAACACACACCAAAATTCAATCATTCAATCCAATGAAATAACCAACCAGGCTCTGATTTATCTCCTGTCTTTATTGAAGCCTCTCATAGAAGAGCAAGCTAGCTTCAGCACCAAGAACATCACTCTCTGAAACTCTGCAAACTTCTGAATCAGATATACTAAACCAGCTCAATTCCTCACATTCTTCTTCTTCTTCCTCTTGTGATGCAACTCTCACACTTCTATAAACTGTATAATGCCCGCTTCCGGTTCTACCAAAATGTTCAACCACTGTTACGAGCCTGTACAGGTCGCAGCTTCTTGATGTTTCTGGCTTTTGGTACTTTGACGACATCTGAATCCCTGCTTCTGTGTTTAATCCTATTGGAGATGGTGTGAACAAGGAGAGGTCCAAGACGAGTGGGAAGGCGATATGTCCCTATACAGATAAATTGATATTAGAACGAACTGTAACTAGGATCTGGGACATGTAATGTAGACAGGAAAGAGAGTAACAAATCTCTACCGATAGTTTGACGGATTCTCCATACATGTTAAATGAAGCGCGTTGCACTTGAATGCATAGAAGCTGTAACAATTTAGCTAGAGAGTCAAATGGGACGCAGGAAAAAAGTGATTATACTAAATTTAACTTTCTCGGGTTTCAAACTTTATAGCTTCATTGAGTAATAAATAAGTAAATACCTTTGGGAAACGGGAGATGATTAACTGCTTCAATATGTGGGAATAGCTATTTGACCAAGGCATTCTTTCAAGAAGAAGAGAAGTTTTACAGTCACACTGTTCATCTACGGCACAGCTCCTGAGTTTTTCTATATCTGTCTGATTGAAACCAATTCAAGTATACACGGGTCAGATAAGAGATGTAAAGCAAGTACAAAGGAAAGGTACAATACTGATTAAAGCTCAGAAATTTAATTACCTCAGCTGCTCCTATCACAGATAAATATTTCCCTGCAGCACCATGCCAGCATCTATGGCAGAAGAAGTTTTCAACTTTCTCAGTAACTAGAAACTTCTTCATGCAATTCTCCAAAGTGCATCCAAACATCTAAGAGTAACCAGAAAGGTAAAGTCTCTTGAGAAATGTTTTATTTCTATAGAAGTTTCAATTTTTTGCAAAAGTAAACTAATATAGCAATAAGAGAATGAACCTTGCGTAACATACAATGTTGGAACCACCACTATGGAGTAAAGGAGAAAGAGGCAGAGTATGAAAAAACTGAAACTCCAATGAAATCTACGAAAAGCAAGAAAATCAAATGGGGACAATAGCAAGAGCCAATAAACTGGTTGGATCGAGAAATATAATCCAAAGTACCTGAGAGGAACAAGTTCGACACATCAACGTACTACCAAGAATACCATCAAATGGTCCACGCAAATGTTTATGCCATCTCTTAAGCTCCAACAAACCATGGAGGCCTTCAGTAGGCGCAAGCATTCTCAAGTTGCGAGAAAAGAGTACATCTGATAGATTACAACTTTGGATGGGACGGTAACAAAATACAATCTCTTCTTGCAAAGAAGATATAAGATGAAGAAGAGCTTCTGCAGCATCCTATGTTTCAACAATATCATTAGCTCATAGAAGACCAACGACCAACTGAGGTATCCTTTGTACTAATAAAAGAAATGAAACCTGTTGGCTTGTCAAATTGAAATTTCGGGTATAATCAGTCAAAGCCAGCATAACTTCACGAGGGTTAGATACAGATCGTCTTCTTCCAACTACACAGAGCTCTGCTCGTAACAATTAACAAAAAGGATTACTGTAAATAACATTACCGATTTTGACACACACACTGACATAGAAGAAATGGACTAGTTTTTTACCTTGTAACAAGGCAGATAGAGCAAAAGTAAGAGGAAACTGTTGGTCCAGTTCTCCTGCTACCGTGTCTCTCGCATCCTCTATAACCCATTGAAGAAAGCTCCGGAAATCTTTGCAGCTGGCCAGAGCCTGGAAAGGTCAAATTCACAAATCCAAATCGTGCAAAAGGATTAGAATCAAACTCAAACGAGGAACCCATGGAAATGACAGTAATACGAAGCACTACCTGTAAGATCACGTTGAGGAAACAATTGTTCCCGATATTTTGCAGGCCAGGTACGTGAACAGAATCGTCTCCGGAGTCTTCATCTCTAGCGGAGAAGAGTTTGAGGTTGCGGAATCGACCGTCCTTAAGGGCCAATACGAGACCAGCAAAACCAAGTATAGTAGCGAATGATATATGCGAAACCCAATTGTTCGGAACCTTGAATCTATCTGTGAGGATACAGACAATCGCCCCTGTATTGGAGGGACCTCTACGGGAAACCATACTCGAGTCGCTTTGTTTGGTCTCTCTATTTCTTGATCTCGCTCTATATCATCATCGCTTGAGATGTCTAACCTTCCGACTTGTTCCGCGGGTTTTTAATTCGCCTTATTAAACCCCCGGCGGCTAGATAACCAAGACAATTAGATCCGGTTCAATTCGCTACAACGTTTTAATATATCTATTGCTTATCAATCTCCCGAGTTTAATTCGACTTTTTTTACGATTGCAAATATCTAAGTTATGTTTTACATCAAGCTTACAATTGATATCATTTTGATTTTTCACACTATAGGTTTTCGCAAACTTAGATATAACGTAAAGAATTTAATTTAATTATTGATTATTAGATTTTGTTAAATTACAGAAACTTATCATTAATAAATGAATCAATGTACAAAACTACAAGAATAATACACTGCTCATTACAATTATACTAAAATTACAAGAACAATCTTCATCCAATAGCCAGAACCTATAGCACCAGTGTCAAAGGAATATACCTGCAAAATTCAAAACAGACAAAATAGAAAATAACATAAAAGAACAAATGCAAATTAAACAATGGAGTTAATAAAGATCTCAGACATCCAAGGAAGGATAAAAGCTGCATTAGCTCTCAAGCCCGGCGAAAGGCGAAAGCTTTAGACGGCCACTGCGAATGTTTTGAGAAACAAGCCTTAATATTTATCATCATTGATCTTTTCAGCACACATAAACTTTAAAACATGAACATAAAGATCGGTTTCAGACATCCAAGGAAGGATAAAAGCTGCATTAGCTCTCAAGCCTGGCGAAAGGCGAAAGCTTTAGGCGGCCACTGCGAATGTTTTGAGAAACAAGCCTTGGTTTTATCCTCATCAACCGTAAAGAAACAACAAAATCAAAAAATTAAAACCAAATCTAAAATCGTGGTCTCAGACATCCAAGGAAGGATAAGAACATCATAAGCTCTCAAGCCCGGCGAAAGGCGAAAGCCTTAGGCGGCCACTGCGAATGTTTTGAGAAACAAGCCTTAATGTTTATCATCATCGACCAAAAAAAAAATAAAACAGTGACGAGTTTCCCATCTTATAATGATCAGCAAGAAACCAAATTAAGACTGCTGACAAAGTGACAGATGGATTAAGATATAAGGGACTTTGTTAAATCCTATCAAGCACTAAGAGAAATCAATTCTGCTAATGAGACATTGTTAAACTCGGTCCCAAATCTAAAACCCTAGCTGAGAAAACAATGACAATGGAAGCAAGATTTCAAAAGTTTCAGACATCCAAGGAAGGATAAAGCAGCATCAACTCTCAAGCCTGGCGAAAGGCGAAAGCTCTTAGGCGGCCACTGCGAATGTTTGAGAAACAAGCCTTTGGATTTATCATCATCAACATAATTAAACAGCAAAACTCTAAGCTAAAGCTATCAGACCTACATCATAAGATCTAGACGACTACTACAACAACACATTGATAAGAATCGGACAGACGAAGAAAAGATAACCATAGAGAACTACTCCGAATTCAAGGTTTTGGGTTTATTTTGAGTGTTACAGAGGAGGATGTCTTTATATAATGTGATAGAAGAGGCGTCCGATGATTAGGGTTTTGTTATTGCTGACACGATCAACGGTGCAGATCTATCGATTTTATTTTCTCCTTTTCCGTTTTTATTTTTTTCCTATTTTAATTGTGCTCGGGGGCGTTAGTAGAACAATCGAGATGTTTACGGTAAGAATGAATGGGCTTTTATTGTTTCTTTTTTAATTTGGTCCAACAAATTTGGTGTATTTATTTTGGGTTTCAAAACGGGCTTATAACAAATTCATAAATGACCTTGGGCAACTTCTTTATCAAGAACGCTCAAACGATCCTCAGCCTCTTTATTCGAAGAGTACGAGATTTGTTAACTTACTACTACTACACACCCCGATAACAAGACAACGTTAAAGACTTCGACTAAATTGTACTTGACACTATACAGACCACCAGACGGTAAGTAAGAAAAAGACGATTTTGGATCAACTTTCAATTGTTTGTCTTTTTCTAACTTCCACAAGAGAGACACTCCTCCGGACTTGTCAAAGAGCAAACCATCTGTGCCATCTTAGTCTCGTTGTCTTCTTCTGTTGCTTCTTTGTCTTCAGTGACAGTAGCCTTCTCCTGCATAAGAACCCACCAGACAGAATTCACAGGCTGTCTAAGTAACAACAAATTCACACAATGACACAAAACTGTTGTTTTACCTTAAGCATTGTTGTGTCAACTGTGAATTTAATTGCATCCGCTGCACCACGCGATCGCAGGTAATACATTCCCGTTTTCAAACCCTTTTAGTATTCACAACAATATCAATAATGAGACAGAGTTAATACAAATCAAGACTAGACTATGAGGAAGTGAGTTTCATGAATAATTCAGGTTATACAAGCGATACAACTGAACATATCTACTTGCAAGTGCAATCATACTGACCATTTTCAGAATGCGTAAAAAAGATAAGTTGTTACCTTTTTCCAAGCGTAAAAGTGCAAGGAAGTGAGTTTTGCAAAGTTGGGTTTCTCCATGTGTATATTCAAACTTTGGCTTTGATCTATAAAGCATCCACGATCTACAGCCATGTCCACCACTGTCCTCTGCTTAATCTCCCAGACAGTCCTGAGTCATTTTGCAAGAGGGCACACAGGTTAACGTCTATGAACACTGATTAATAAGGACATAACAAAACAAGGAAGTGCTATACCTGTAAATCGATTTCAAGTCATCAGGTATCCCGGAGACATTTATGATCGAACCATTCTCATTTATTATCTTGTTTTTCAGTGTAGGAGACCAGAGTCCCATATCAGTCAAGTCATGAAGAAGATGCTTGTTCACTACTACGAATTCACCACTGAAAAGACAATATCTATACTATTAAGCCTGTGGAGAATACCAGAAACATAATTTGTGGAGCTATTTTATTTTGCTTGAAGACCATACCTCAAGACTCTACGACTATAAATGTTTGAGGTATAAGGTTCAAAACACTCATTGTTCCCAAGAATCTGGCTGGTTGAAGCAGTTGGCATTGGTGCCACTAGAAGAGAATTTCGGATTCCATTCTTCGAAATCATACCTCTGAGGGCAGCCCAGTCCCAGCGGTCCGAAGGAATGACACTCCACATATCAGGTTGAAGAATTCCCTGAAAGTACATACACCGCAAAGCAATTATGAATAAGAATTTATGACAATGTTGTAAATTATCGAAAAAAGCTGGTTGTGAATAAATACCTTACTCACAGGACTTCCATGGTAAGTTTCATATGTACCTTCCTTAGTAGCAATCTCTGAAGATGACTTGAGTGCATGATAGTATATGGTTTCAAATATGTCTTTGTTCAGTTGTTGAGCCTGGGAATCATTCAAAAGAACTTATTCAGAAAAGAGATCAAAACTACTTTGAAAAGTTGAATAACTTATGAGAAGTAAGTTCACCTCAGGGGAATCAAATGGCATTCCGAGAAGGATAAATGCATCTGCAAGACCTTGTACACCTATACCAATGGGCCTATGTCGCATGTTTGAGGTTTTTGCAGTCTCCAAAGGATAATGATTCACATCTATAATTTTGTTAAGATTAACAGTAACAGTGGCAGTCACCTGATGAAAAAAATATTAAGAAAAAGAAGTCAATCAAACAGCTCATACATTAAAAGTTGACAAAATGAACCAAGGTAGTCAAGTATTAACCTCTGCTAACTTATCAAAATCAAAGTAACGACTCTTTGAGCCCAAACTGCCTACAACTTTAGATGGATGCGAGTCCAAAGGGATGTCCTGATGTGCAATGTAAAAAATGTCAAGAGTTATGAGCTAAGTGACCAAACAAAATCAAAATCAAAGAACACTTTTGCGACTCACCTTCTCTCTTACAAACCGGGGTAAGGCAATAGATGCAAGATTACACACAGCTGTTTCTGTTGGACTTGTGTATTCAATGATTTCGGTGCATAAGTTGGAAGACTTTATGGTACCCAGATTTTGTTGATTGCTTTTCCTGTTACACGAATCCTATGGAAGAGACTCAAAAATCAAAAGTGGGAACCACAGAAAACATGTATATACACAGGATCTAACAACTGTTTCTTACCTTAAAAAGCATGTATGGTGTCCCTGTTTCTACTTGGGACGTCAAAATTTCGTACCACAGCTGTTGTGCCTGGATAACCTTCTTGGCCTTACCCTAAAGATACAAACAGAGATGCTTCACAAAACTGGCATTGAAACAATAGAAATTCGAAAGGAAGCAGTAAATCCAAAGATGATCATTCACCTCATTCTCATACTGAGTGTACAATTTCTCAAATTCGGCACCCCAACAATCTGCCAAACCTGGAGCCTCATTAGGGCAAAACAGTGACCACTTTCCATCAGTCTGGACCCTCTCCATGAAAAGATCTGGTATCCAAAGACCATAAAACAAGTCTCTAGCCCTGTGTTCCTCCTGAAATGGAAAAAAATTCTATTGTGAGCTATCTAAGTAAATTATATTATGGGGCAAATGAGTAATATTTTTTTAGTGTAACTGTACCTTTCCATGATTCTTACGGAGTTCCAGAAAGTCAAAAATGTCAGCATGCCAAGGCTCCAGGTATATGGCAAAGGCTCCTTCATTAATTGCAAATTATTTACATAAGAAAATCTAAACAACAATTACTTCAGAAACAATCAAGAAAATAATAGCAAAGTATCCTGAAATGCACACCTTTCCTCTTGCCTCCTCCTTGGTCAACATAACGAGCAGTATCATTGAATACCCGCAGCATTGGAACGATACCATTAGATGCTCCGTTTGTGCCACGAATGTAACTTCCAGTTGCACGGATGTTGTGAACTGATACACCAATACCCCCTGCTGATTTGCTTATAACAGCACACTCTTTCAACGTGTCATATATTCCCTCGATGCTATCATCCTTCATGCAGATCAGAAAGCAGCTACTTAACTGCATATTCAAACATTTTCAAAAGCACATTAGTAAAACCATTGCAGATTGACGTATGGCTCTGATTCTAAATTTATTGTAGATACAATACTTGAGCCCTTGGTGTCCCTGAATTGAAGAGAGTAGGAGATGCATGAGTGAACCATCGCTGAGACATTAAATGGTACGTATTGATTGCGGAATCAATATCATCCTTGTGGATGCCAACAGAAACCCTCATCAGCATGTGTTGAGGCCTTTCAACCACTTTGCCTTGTACTTTTAAGAGATATGATCTTTCAAGCGTTTTAAATCCAAAGTAATCATATTCAAAATCGCGATCATAAACAATTTCACTGTCTAAGCGAGTACCATGCTGAAATTAACCAAAAGAAACACAATTCAACAAGAGAATAGAGGTATACAAAGCACAATTTCAACGATCAGACTGTGGGATGAGAACAAAAGATATTTACCTTCATAATGATCTCGAATACATCATCAGCAATTAAAGGAGCCTTGAGTCCAGAACCCTCATTGACATGATCGTACATGTCTCTAACCCTGAAAATTCCCAAAATCCATTGAAGTCAATAACACATATGAATAACTAGAGTCCATAAGAATATATGTGTAGATGAGCAGAACACTCACGTTTCAGAAAATGATCTCTTAGTGTTCTTGTGGAGACTGTATACAGCAATCCTAGCAGCAAGCTGGAATTATAAACATTGAAACATGTTAAATTATTTCCCAATGTCCAAAAACAAAAAAAAGAGTTGGAGCATAGCAACATCAATCAACAATCTGAGATCATCACTAAGATGCAATTCCGTATAATTCAACATGTGACATACGAAAACGTTAATCGGAAACTGATCTATCAAATTAAGAAAACACCGACAAGCCAAATCGAGTACTAAATAAAAAAGAGGGGAAAGAAAAAAATAGACTGACGGAGGCGTAATCGGGATGGTTGGTGGTCATAGCAGCAGCAGTCTCAGCGGCTAACTCATCGAGTTGAGTGGTGGTAACGCCTTTGTAGACACCAGCACAGACTTTCTGAGCCACGAGAACAGGGTCACAGTGATCGATACTTAGCCCATAGCTAAGCTTCTTTAGCCGCGCTGTGATTTTGTCGAAGTGAACCGTTTCCTTCTTCCCGTCGCGCTTCACAACGTACATTTTTTTCTTTCTCTATGAGGAATTCTATCGAACACTTGTTAGGCGTCTCAGAGTCTGATGACAGAGAATGGAATAAATGGGGATTTTGGTTTTTTCGAGTTTCAAAACTCTTCTATGATAGAATTCTACACTTGTGAATTGTGAACTCTTGACTCTCTCTCTCTCTCTCTTTTTAATGACCAAATTTTTTGACTTTTTTTTTCCTCCCGCGCAAAAGTTTCAGATTTCCCCGCCAGCTTCCGCAAGAAGGATCCATCGTATATTCAGTTAGGTGTTACACACAAAGCGTCCGTCCGTGATGTTCGTTTCGTTCGCATGGACCCAAATTATAAACTAACGTTTTTCAAGGAAAATTTGTTGTAACTTACGGAATTACTTATTCACAAACTAAGACGCTGGCAAAACCATAGAAATTATTCAAATGAATTAACTTATATATGTGATAGTGATATGCTTGATTAATTTATTTTTTTAAGAATTAACTAAATTTGGCTAATATTTTTATCAACAGTATCATATATTCTGTTTATCGATATTCTGCAGCATTTAGATCAGTAGATGTGACTTGTTATTCTTTGTTGGTTATTTTAGTATTAATTATTACTATATACTAAAGCCTTCTATAATCCAAACAAGATTATTGTATACGTGCGAGTTAAACATGATATATACCAAGGTTGAACACTATTATGTTATTTAATATGCATTTCCCGTAAGGCAATCGTTGTGACTTGTGAGAATCCAGACAAGATTTGTATACATGCTGCATGCATGCGAGTTCAAACATCACACACCAGTTAAAATTATAAGATCACAGCTTGAGCTATTTTGTTTGTGTCCGTCACTGCTTTAAACATATTTTCAGAAAACATTTTTGCCTTTTCTCAAACCTCAAATTTTGATCACGGTCTATTCATTTTGTTTTTATATGCATTAATTTACGTCTACTTTTGTTTTATAACAGGTCAGTCAATTAATGAGATTAATAATTACATTTTGTCAAACAAAATTTTCTGTTAAAATAGTTGCAAAGATTCACAATTCTTCTAGCACCTTCTCCTTAATTGTTCAACGCTACTAAAATATTTTACATAGAGAACCCATAAAGAAAGTAATCAAAAACACGCTTTAAACAAACATAATTAGCCATCGCGTCACTAGCCTCTCGTCATCTCCTTCGTGGCTCTGTAGATGCTCGCGAGAGACCGAAGCTTCTTCTGCTTCTTCTTATTTATCAATGCCTTCGTCTCCGTGATCGCCTTCATAAACCTCCGTCCGTCCGTAACATTCTTATTATTGATCCTCCAGACGCCGTCGTTCTGCTCCTCCCCGACCATGGAACTAACAACAGTTTCTTGTCTCTTGGTATTATAATCGCCTTCACAAGCGGAGACGCTCCAGGCAGTGCCAGTGCCGCTGCTACAGCTCAACGTATCGTCTTCGCTCAATTGCATTAGCTGCTTCGCCGCCTCCATCTCCGACTCGGAAAACGCAATTTCAGACGACTCTCCCGAAAAACCAATCTCCGACTCTCCCGGAAAACCAATCTCCTCCATTTGATTGATCATTTCTTGAATAGTTGATCCTCGATATCGAATTTATCTTGTCTCCCTTTTGACCACTTACGTGTATCCTTGTGTTTTATTTCTTTTTGTTTTTGTCGTCTATTATATAAAGAGTAGAAGGAAAAAAAAAAGGAAAACTATTAAACAAACACAAAGGAAAATTAAAAAAAAAAGGAAATTACAATGTCGGTTTGCAAGAAGAACGTGTCTTCTGAAAAAAAAAATTGCAACTTTCAGAGAAGAAGATAAATATTTAAAAAAATTAGATAAATACTAAAAGTTTTTTAAAAATATAAATCAAAAGGCTGATCTAGTGGAACAAGGTGTATTCTTAATTAATTGATCCTGAACCGTCAAAGCTATTGACCGACCTTTAGATTTTTTGGGTTTTTGTAGATCCAGCGGCTTGTGTGTGCCATGGTTTCCGAAGAGAGAGAGATGCGTTTGACTTCAATTATACGATTTGGTGGGGTCCATGCAAAAACCATTCCGGTTTCGAATATCGATAAGCCCACCATTATGCCACGTGTTATCATCTTAATCGCAGCAACATCCGATGTGGGACATTCGATTTTGGTTCAAAAACGATGCTTTATTTTAGTCCCGGTAGTAACAAACATACCGCAGCAACAAACCCAATTATAAATACAACATTACAACTGCAAAAAATAGTGTGTGCGTGTAGCTGTATTTATAAAAATATATAAAAAACACTACAATCCATTATTATTACTATTAACAAAGTGTACTGTATGATCCTTATTCTATTTTACAATAATTAAATAAAACGTACAATGTGAAAGAAAAATAAATAAAACAAACAACTCTATTAGTATAATAACATGAATTAATTTAGGAGGGGGAACAAAAAACAAAAAAAAAAGTTTTAAAAACTTGTAAAAACTGCACATCTTTGTTCTAGAACACACACTTGCTCATTGCATCCACCAAAACAGTACACATCATCCATCCATCCATCCATACATCTGCTTCCCAAAGCTCCAACACATTTCTTCTTTCTTCTTCTCTCAGACTCTTGTTAGTTTCCACAATTCAGACCACATATCTCCAACACTGGTCCACCTTTCGCCACAAACGGGTTCACTCTAACCCACAATAGCGTCAAGATCGATGCTAGTAGAATAGACCACACCACTATTATCGTTGGCATTCTATCTTGTTTCCCAAGCATCCCCTTGAGGAACGGGTATAAATGCACAATCACCCACAGTGCGAAGAACAGCCTCCCAAACAGAGGTCCCCAAGAGTCATACCCATTGCTGATCGCATCCGATACCCCTACAATCACTCCTATGATGTTTATGATCAAAAGTGTTGTCGGAGGAATCAACAAAGTTGTCCACTTGAAGATGTATAGCTCCGAGAATGCTCCATCGTCTGCTGCTTTTGAGGTGACTGTGAAATTCGTGTCAACTCCAGCTAGAACTTTGAGCAATCCTTGAAACAGAGCAAACAGATGCGAAGAGGCCCCTCCGATCACCCAAAATTGCTCGTTTCTCCACCAATCATCGATCCCTACACGTCCCCATTGCATTTCGAGGATTCCAGTTACTGCTATGGATATGAACATGAGCATGAAGAGAATACCTGCGTAGTTGCTTATCTGTCAAAACAAAACACACTACATTTAGAAAAATCTTCAAACTGCATAAAACCAAACCAAAAATGCAGAGGTTATTATAGTTATAGTACCTCTGGGACGATGAATTTCCCGGTGAGTAAACAGACTGCCGGGAGAGAACAGTAGACGATCAGTGGAAGTGAAGTCCAAGGATAGACAACAGAGTTGATGTAAGAGAATCTCTCCAACCATTTTAATCCACCACCATAACCATACCATATCGGACAATGTCTGCTCAAGAAAATCTCAACAGAGCCAAGAGCCCATCGTAGAACTTGATGAAGACGATCCGACAAGTTAATCGGAGCAGACCCTTTAAAAGCTGCACGCTTTGGCATACAATACACAGATCTCCATCCATGGCAATGCATCTTGAAACCAGTCAAGATATCTTCAGTAACCGATCCATAAATCCACCCGATCTGCATGTCATTATTAGCATGAATGAGATCACAAGAACCTCTGTAGTTGAATTTGGAAACTTTGTAATGTTTTTTTTTACCTCTTTTCCCCATTCGGTTTTATCTTCGTATCCGCAGCTAATAACTTGAATGGCTTCTCTCAACAAACACGCGGGGCTTGCGTTCCTTGGGACTCCACCGTTTTGTAGAACAGCAGAGGCAACAAAAACCGGAGATTGTCCAAACTTCTTCTCCAATTTTAATTGTGCTGCTTCAGATCTCTTCTCAACATTTGACACTAATAATTAAAAATAGCTAATTAGACTTTCACCAAGATAGAAACCAAACAAGAAATGTTTTTTTTTTCTCCGTCTTTTACCTGGGACAATGACCCCTTCTGCAATGTTCTCTAGTGCGTGAATCTGCTTTGAAGTCTCCTTAACACTATTTTTCTTATCTTTAGCTTTCGTTTTACTCTTCTTTCTCAACCCACAACACAAACAACACCATTTAGGCCAACAGTTGCAGGTTTTGCCTGGTGGCTTCTTCTTCTTTGGTGCATCAAAACCATAAAGAGCTTGTCTTCTAAAGACACAACCTGTCCCAACATAAATCGGTCCTTGTATCCCATCAAGACCTTTCATATTAATCTGTTTTCACAAAAAAAAATGATCGAATGAGAATATTGGAAGAGCAGCAAAACATAGAAAGAAACAGAGAAAAATAACACAAGGACACATACATCAAAGAACACCACATTGCGATTTGAGTATCGATCATGTCTATCAATCCCATCAAACCTCTGTGGAAATTGAACATAACAAACTTTCTTTCCGGATTGCGGATCCATCATGAAACACATAGCTTCTCTAATTGCTTTGCTGTTGTTGATGTAGTGATCACAATCGACATTAAGAAGGTAAGGAGCGTTTGATAGAACAGCAGAGACTCGGATCTTCAAGAAAAAGTATAATGAGTTTTAGTTTACTTATACTCGGAAATGCGGAGAGATTGACAAATAAAGAACCACATTATCCTAACCAAGGAATTCATAGCTCCAGCTTTTTTATGGTGATCAAATCCAGGTCGCTTCTCACGAGAAACATAGACTAGTCGAGGTAACTCATTCCCATCCGTATCACGAACTCCACTATGTCCCAAGAACACCTGCCATTTTCGAAACTCTTAAAAAAACCTTCCGCTAAAGATATATTGAGAGCTTGAGGTGCTCATTCCAGTTTAACCAATCCAGAAAATCAAAGTTTAAGGGGAAATGAACAGCTTTCGTTTTATAAGAACAGAGTCATATCATTACCTGAATCATTCCAGGATGATCTCGGACGTTGTTTCCAGGCCAAGGAGTTCCATCTTGCATAGTCCAACCTTCCTCAGGCACTTTCTGTGCTGTAGCAACCAATGCATTTATCTTCACTTTAAATTCCTCATAATCTCTCTGCAGTAAACCGACAAACAAAAATACAAATCACATTCTTTAAACAAAATTTTTATTATCGTATATATGCACAAATGAAGAAGAGATAAAGCAGCAATGAAACCTTCATAGCACGACGCTCCCTAACAAAAGCAGGATGAACTTTGTTCTTCAAATAATCCATCTTCTGGGAAAAATACCACTCGGGAGCTCGTGGCTCGATATTGAACTTCTTACAAAAAGGAACCCATTTTCTAGCAAACTCAGCTGTATCAGAGAGAGCTTCAAATGTAAGCATCGCTGCCCCATCGTCTGATACATAACAAGCAACCTTATCCACAGGGTAATCAACAGCTAGAATCGAAAGAACAGTGTTTGCTGTGATCAACGGTGGCTCTTTCAGTGGATCCACTGTACTAACAAAAACATCAACAGGTGCTAATCCTGACGGTTTTCCTTCCTTCTCGTACCTAGTGAGAGAAAGAGAGTTTTAAAACTCTTCGGAAATGTAAAAAACGAATATTGCAGACAAGTAGTTTTTTCGAGTTTATGTTACCTGAGAGAGAGTCTATCAAGGTATGTTTCGCGTTCTATAGGATACCATTTAGGGAATTGATCAAGAATCCAAGAAACAGCGAACCATATTTCGCATATAACTGATGTTAACCATAATCCATATGCATCATTGACTGGATGAAGAATTCTATAATGAAAGAAAAGGCCAAGAATTGTGAGCCGGCACAGAATCAACATCCTATAAGGATTTATTCTGCTTGAACGAATCGGTAGCTTTCTTGAGAGAGGTTGTCTTCCTTCATCCATCCTGATTTAGCACCAAAAATGTTTATACAACAATAAGAAAACAAAACCACTGAACAAAAAAAGATGATGAGATTTTAACAAAACCATTGAACTTACATGGGCATTTCAGGATCATCCAGTTCGTCGTCATCATTGAAACCCCGACCATCTTTACCTCCTTCATGTTTAATGACCTGAAGTTTTTCGCCTTGCCGTTTCTTCCACACTTCCATACGGTCCTTCCAAGCAACACTTCCATATCCATATTCCGCAATATCTTTCTGAGGAACCATTGATCTTGCCTGTGCTGTAAAACAAACAAAAACCATTTCATAACTTATTAGAAGGTGAGCAGCAGATACATATAAAAATTAGCTAGGAGCCATAAAAGCAAACACATACGAGGTGCAGAAGAATCTGTATATGGTGCAGGATGGACTCGATTCCCATATCCCGTTGAAGGAGGCACGATAAGAGCATGTCGATCAGAGTACATATCAGCATCCTGGAAAAAAACATATATACATTATAAGAAAAAGAATCATCAAAGCAACAGCAACTTTAATGAAATAAGGAAATTTGGATTCCTCACCTCATCACAATAAGTCAAAAGGGGAATCTGAGAACCAGGTGGAGCTGAATCCAAACCACCACGACCAGTGTTAAGGCGTGAAGAGAGGGCGGCTTCAACGGCATGTTCAGGGTGCATCCCATGATCAAACTCATACTCAAGATCGTCAATGTCGTCTTCTTCATCATCATCTCCGTCAACGCGTGGAC